TTACTTGGCATGTATTTGAGAGTCAAGGATGAGAGGATACTTGCTGCAATATTTGAACCCTCATCTCTGCTTGCACTTTTGACCAATGTACATATTACCGTTCAAAGATTTGGGGTCTGAAAGATTTTTATTTTTTAAATAAAGTTTATTCATTAAAGATGCATTAAATTGTGCTAAAGTGACAAGTGAAGAAATGTTAGGATTTTTTTATTTGTTTCCACAAAAATATTAAGCAGCACAACAGATTTTTCCCCCAACACTGATAAATCAGCATACTCGAAAGATCATGCGACACTGAAGACTGGAGTAATGACAGCTGAATATTCAGTTTTGCCATCACATAAATTACATTTGAAAATATAATGCAAACGTTTTAAGCAATTTTACTTCAAAATAATGCAGTCTAGATGAATATAACTGACCTGGTTTCAAAATAAAAAAACCTTACCAACCTCAAACTTTTGAAAGGTAAACTTGCTTGAATTGTGCAGTGATTAACTAATTTTTTAATCCAAGTTAATCTATAAATGACAATTCCCTTTAACTAGTTTATAGTTAATTTACAGCTTTAAATTTCAAAATTTAGAAATTAAATTCTTTGCCATTGATTTAACATACTTGATCTATTAGCTAATTTTATAGATATAAAATGTACACACAAGCATGGCAATGACTTCTTTAATACAGAAAACTAAGAGCACTTTAGCACTTGTGTTTTTTTTCTAGGAGGTTACAACCAGTTAATGCAGTACAAAAAAATAGCTGCTTAACTTTCTCAAATCCTCCTTCCAATAAAATGTGTATGGAAAAAGGACTCACTACACAACATCAGCGCACACCAGAAACAATTGTTGAAAGATGTCACTTGTTGGCTAAGCCAACTTTCTAATCAAAAGCTTTGGCAACACTTGTATAAAATGAGAACAGCAGCAGCAACGTGACGAGTTGGGGTATATTCTTTAATGGTCATATCAAAAAGAGCTCTACATTTATTTGCCTTTCTTGGCTTTAATCTTCCTCAGGTAGAACTCCAGTTCTTTGCCCTCAAGGACGTAGCCATCAGCCCTGCCACACTGTCCTGGTCTCGAGGCAATGCAGGCTGAGGAAAAACACAAAACCATAGATTAAACACTTAAACTGAAGGGCAGTGGAGCTGCAGGCAGCATTTCAGTGGTTATCAGAAATGGTATGACTTCAGCACTGTTGTGTCAGTAGCAGAACTGGTTAAAGTTTCATCACGATCACATCAACGTCACATTAAGACCCCGTGTAACACGACTTACCAAGAAGCTTCCCCTGCAGGAACTGCTCCTCCAACAGAGAACTGATCTTGCTTTTCTTTCTGCGCTCATCAAACTTCTTTTGGACCTTTTTCGACCTCTTCTTGTTTAGGATTTCCTCTTCCTCAGGAGTCTAGATTGACAAATCAAATGAGAATTAGCTAGATACTGATTACAGTGCATGCTTTTGGTATCGAGAGTTTATAAGCTACAAGCCTTCCTCAGTGTCTTAAACTGCAT